CTGTTCTTAATATGTTTGCTCCCTTTAGCGCCATGTGTTTTAACCAAGGTCACCTCTCCGAGAAAGGTTGTTTCCCCAGGTGGGGATTTTTCCCTGAGGTTAGGGAGGGGATACAACCCCTTAATTAAGTGCCAGGCGGGTAGTTAAGCTACATAATCTTTACTCCCTGGAATGGAGATAAGAAACGCCCTAACCTTTGTAATAGAAATTGACAGGATTAAAATCGGCTGGTATAAATACGGATGTAACAAGACAATAAACATCAGATCATCATCAGATCCTCGTCAGTTCCTAACCAGAACTCCGACCAGAACTTTGGCTGGAGATCCTGGCTAGAGGTCCTGACTAGGCTGCTGATCAACTGAAGGCTGTCTTCGTATCATTCCTTCTTCGCCGACTCCGTCCACACCTTTGGGGACCCCTGGACCCGCTGGGATTGGACCCCAGCACACCTGGATCATTCTGGCTTCCTCCCCTTGCTTACTGGAACGTCCCACTCGGACAGTGAGACACCTAGCTCCCACCATCCACCATCCGTTTACTTAGTTGTTCAACTCCAGTATACATGTGTAATGGTGTCAGCATTATCAGCTAGACTGCTAGAGTATAGTACTCATGTACAGTTCCTTCTACCTTCAGTCTTACAGACTTCACTCATTTCGAAAATTACTTAGGTAAGCACTTTTTCTTCTACCCACTTCAGTGAGGTTGTTTCATAAATATACAATATAATTAGATTATTTTATAATTTCACTTCAGGATCCCCTGGCCTCAGAAATAATTTTTAAAAATTTGCATACATTAAGGTCCATTCTTTGTTCTGTAAAGTTCCTTGGGTTTTGAAACCCACAGAAAATGTCATGTATCCACCATTACAGTTACTTACAGAATAGTTCCACTGCCCTAAAAAGTTCTCTGTGGCCTGGCCAGTGTGACTCAGTGTTTGAGCATGGACCTATCAACCAGGAGGTCACGGTTCGATTCCCAGTGAGGGCAAATGCCTGGGTTGTGGGCTTGATCCCCAGTAGGGGGCATGCAGGAGGTAGCCAATCAAAAAGTCCCCTATGCTTCACTTATTTAACCCTTACCCTTCTCCTCCTATCCTCTGGCCAACACTGATATATTTACCCTCTCTATAGTTTTTGTCTTTTTGGAATGGTGTATAATTGGAATCATATACCGATAATATTTAGCCTTTTCAGACTGGCTTCTTTTACTTAGTGATATACATTTAATATTCATGTCTTTTGTGGCTTGATAACTCATTCTTTTAAAAAAATGATTTGAGAGAGAGAAAGGGGGAGAGAGAGAAAAAACCCCCACACTGATTTATTGTTTCACTTATTTATGCATTCATTGGTTGATTCAGACTGGGGATCAAACCCGAAACCTTGGTGTATCCGGACGACACGCTAACCGACCAGGGCCTCATTCTTTTTTATTGCTAAATGATATTTCATTATAGGGATGCACCACAGTTTGGTTATCCAGTCACCTGTTAAATGACATCTTGGCTGGTTCCAGTTTTTGATGATTATGAATAAAGCTGCTATAATTATTTGCATGCAGGTTTTTAGGTGGACCTAGATCTTCAAATCAATAAATACTTAGGAGCATGATTGTTGGTCATATGGTAAGACTATGTCCAGCTTTATAAGAAACTGCCAGACTGCTTCCAAAGCAGCTATACCATTTTCCACTTCTACAGTCAATGAATGAGAGTTACTGTTGCTCCACATCCTTGCCTGCAGTTGGTATTGTCAGTTTTCTGGATTTCAACCATTCTAAGAGGTGTCCCCATATGCCATTCACTAACTTACTAGTAAATACCTTGGCTCTCTAACCTTTGCAGTGGTTCTCAACCTTCTGGCCCTTTAAATACAGTTCCTCATGTTGTGACCCAACCATAAAATTATTTTCGTTGCTACTTCATAACTGTAATGTTGCTACTGTTATGAATCATAATGTAAATATCTGATATGCAGGATGGTCTTAGGCGACCCCTCTGAAAGGGTCGTTCGCCCGCCAAAGGGGTCGCGACCCACAGGTTGAGAACCGCTGCTTTAGAGTAAAGCAAGAGAGCTGGAATCCAGTGGGGATTTGGTTTCTAGAAATAACTAACCATGGGGTTGTAGAATTTTAGAAACAACCTATTCTGGTTCTCCCTGTCTTATTTTTGTTATACGCTGAAGACAATGAGAAGGTGACCTGAAATATTCCAAAAGAACATTTCCGGCTTGAATTCAGATGTTATATATTTATATAAGGCACATAAGATCCACATTCATCCAGTATGTCCTATTGAGTTGTTGAGGGATTGAACTTCTTATAATGTACTGTCTGGTGTGCTGGATGATGGCGATGCAGTGATGAGTCAATCAGACATAGTCTTGTCTTCAGTAAGTTTACAGTCTGTCTGAGGAGACAAACAATTACAATGCACAGCAATGAGGGCTGTGATGGGAGAAGTATAGGGAGCTGTGGGAACACCAGTGTCAGGGCAGGCACCTGACCCTCTAGAGGGGTCAGAGAGGCTTCTTAGAAGGAGTGACTTCTAAGATGTGGCCTACAGCAACGGATTGGCTAATGGTAGTTCGTGGGCCAAATCCAGCTTGCTGCCGGCTTTTGTACCCCCTGTGAACTAAGAATAGTTTTTATATTTTAAAATGTTGAAAAGAATCAAAAGAATAATATTTTGTGACGTGAAAATTATAAAATATCCAAGTTTCAGTGACCATAAATGAAGTTTATTGGAACACAGCCATGCCCATGGCTGCTTTTGCGTATTAGGCAGAGCTGAGTAGTTGTAACTGTGTGGTCTACAAAGCCTAGGACATTTTCTCTCTGGTGCTTTACAGAAAACGTTTGCTGACCCCTGGCCACAGGATGGTAGGAGTTAGCTGTGTAAAGCAGAGCAAGGAAAAAAAGTCGGTTTCTAATGGGGTCTTGGTATAACTGCAGTAACTTTAATATACTTGGAATATGGCATTGAAGGAGGGAGGGGGCCAGAGGTGGGCAGGATCTCCACTGGAAAGAGACTTGACAGCCATATTAAGGGGTTTGGGTTTTATCAGTGGGGGGATTTTAAAAGGTTTTAACAGATCAGATTTCCTTTTTCAAAAAATCCTTTTGTCACGGTGTAGAGATTGGGTTAGAGAGAGTGGGGTGAGAACAGAGACAGGGAGACTTGTTGAGGTGTATGTGTTTTTTTTAAAAGTATATTTGTATTGATTTCAGGGAGGAAGGGAAAGGGAGAGAGAGATAGAAACATCAATGATGAGAATCATTGATTGGCTGCCTCCTGCATAACCTCCACTGGGGACCGAGCCCACAACTTGGCCATATGCCCTGACCGGGAATTGAACTGTGACCTCTGGTTCATAGGTTGACACTCAACCACTGAGCCACGCCGGCCGGGCCTCGTTGAGGTTTTCAAAGTCATTCAGGGAGATGTTGGTAAACTGGATTGGTATAGTGACATTGGGGATAGGAATAGATTGATTTGAGAGGCATTGAGGAAAGCAAAATTGAATAGGTGATTCACTGGAGGCATTGAAATGTAATTATTTTCATGTTTCAAATGATTGTGTTTTCTTTTCAACTCCAAAGTTTGTTTGCTTTTTTCTGGATCATGTGAATGCATGGTTGAAAAGTCCATGTTTAGTAATAGTCTTCAGAGCAAAATTCTTTAGTGATGTTTCATGCCTCTGGTGCCCCTTGAAACTTGTGTATTAAAGCAGCATCTCTCTTTGGCCTCTTCATGCTGTTTCCTGTTGACAAGGGATCTGGGTTTTAAGGAGCAGAGAAGTTATTGGCAGATTAATGTTCTAATTATTAACTTTCTAATTATCTTGGTTTAACAACTTCCCCAAATATTTCTTTGTTGCAAGTCCTTGGGCTCTTTGGTTTTCAAGGCAGTTTGTTGACACTGACAAGCTCTTCTCATTCTCGAGGGCACTTAGGCCCTTTCCAGTTTTAGATATCTAACCCTTGCCTTTTTCCTCCTTAGAATTGAAGTGTCACTTGCAGTAAGTGGTAATAAGATCTTATATTTTACTAGAGGCCCAGCGCACGAAATTCGTGCGCGTGTACTGCCCCTAGGCCTGGCCTGCAATCCAGGCCATCTTCCTGGGCTGCTGGCAGCTGGCCCCGCCCCCTGCTGCCACCCACCCCCAGTTCCCCGTTCCCCATCTGGCGATAGGAGCCTGCCAGCTGGGGCAGCTCCTGCATTGAGCGTCTGCCCCCTGGTGGTCAGTGCACATCATAGCGACTGGTTGTTCTGCCCTTTGGTCAATTTGCATATCACCCTTTTATTATATAGGGCAGGGGTCCTCAAACTTTTTAAACAGGGGGCCAGTTCACTGTCCCTCAGACCGTTGGAGGGCCGGACTATAGTTTAAAAAAAAAACTATGAACAAATTCCTATGCACACTGCACATATCTTATTTTGAAGTAAAAAAACAAAACGGGAACAAATACAATATTTGTATTTGCATGTGGCCCACGGGCCGTAGTTTGAGGACCCCTGATATAGGGTAATATGTTGTGTTGTCTCAGAATGCTTACTCACATGTCAGTTATTTGATCCCTATAATAAACCTGTGAGGAGGGCAGCACAGGCCAAGTTACTGAGATTTGGAGAGGTTAGATGACTTGCTCATAGTCAAAGGACAATAAATAGTAGAGCTGGTGATAGAACTTAGGTCTGCAGATATCATAGCTTTATTCATTCTATAGTGTACTCTGTCTCCAAGAAAAAGGAGTGTTATGTTTTCAGCAGTAGACAGCTGGATGAAAAATTTTTTTCTTTCTTCTTGGTATATGCTTTGTGGGAGCTTCACCCAGACACCAACAAAACATAGGCTTTCCTATGTTTTTGAGTAACATGTGGACTACTAGTAATGCCTAGTATGATTTGAGAAACTGTGGTCTGTATGCTAAAGTATATGTGAGAGTATACGTAACTATGTTTTAATCCCCCCCCCCCCCCCCCCACTTAGGTGGTTCTCACTTGGACAATTTGAGGCCAAATGGGAAAGGCCTGTTTGTGGACCAGAGCTCCCGGGGTCAGGATAAACCAGAAAACTTGCTCACAAGGTAATCAGCTCTCCCTTCACTGCTACCTCTTAGGACTGAGGTTTTCTTCATTATAGAACTGAAACCATTCCTGTGAATGAGGTAAGTTGTCCCAGGGTAGCTGGCCTAAGAAATGTAGGATATTTGTTGAGCACTTACTGTGTATGCCACATAGTTACCCAAGTTATCTTATTTTAACCTGAGAAGTAGGTATTATTATTTTTCTGTCTTACAGCTAAGGAAACAGGTGAGAAGAGAGGTTATAAAACTCACCCAAGATCTAGAACTAGCAAGTGGCAGATCTAGGATTTGAAACTGGCATCTAAATCTATCTTAGAAATGCAGATTAGAAACATTTTGATTTCTCCCTCCCATTCTTTCAAGACTTTGCTGACGCTGAAGAGTCTTCTTTTTCCCATTTTTCTTTACCCCTTTCTTTTTTTCTGATGTGCTGTTATATTTAGTATGTACTCTAGCGCACCCTACTGATCATGGCTAGAGTCTTCTGGTTAAGATAAAACTACTTTATTGTGTCAGTATTTTAATTTTGCACTTAAGCTGCAATGAACAGATCCTGAACTTTAAGTGAACCCAGGTCTGTCATTCTCAATTCACCTTTGAGCCTTCTTGGTACACACAGATACATTTTTCCATAGCCTTAATTAATACAGGGTGGGGCAAAAGTAGGTTTACAGTTGTTCCTATGGAAAATAATACAATGATTAATAAATGATAATACAATGTGTACTCACAACTTTTACCCCACCTACTTTTACCCCACCCTGTATGTACATGACAAGAGTAATAGCAAACACTTAAGTGGCATTTATTTAGTGTCAGAAACTACTTCAAGTGCTTTATAGATCTTAATTCATTAAGTGATTTTCAGCAAAAGTTTCTGGAGCTATTATTATGATTCTGTTAGGTAAGTGTCAAATTTTGTTTAATTTTAAAGTTAGCATTTGAATAATTTTTAATATGACTAAAACTACACAAATCGAACCCGCAACCCAGGGATGTACCCTGACCGGGAGTTGAACCCACAGCCTTTTGGTGCATGGGATGGTGCTCCAACCAACTGAGCCACGCTGGCCAAGGCTGGATTGTTTCACAGCCTTGTTATGTGAGGCACTCTGTCACCATCCAGCTGCGTGAATCATTAATGATGCTGCGTCTCATTGTTTCCCATTTGAAAAATGAAGGGATTAGATTACAATATCTTCAAGGTGCCCTTCTGGTCTGAGATTCTATGAATGTATTTTCAGAAACCCTCTGGACCAATGTACTATGTAGTCAACAACCTGTATGTTTACTTAATTCCACATAGAAGTAGTATTGTTTTAGCAAATAAGTTTTACTTTAGCCTCCTTTTGCCTTCTGTGACTCAGATGTTTGTGTGTGGAAACTTCTAGCTTTATGTTTATGTCATGAAGGACTCATCAAAATATGATAACAATTTTTTTTTGGTCTGTTTTTCTAGACAGACTAAATCCAAGTTGGAAATTACCGACATGGTTCGCTCTTCCACTATCACAGTCTCAGACAAGGCTCATATTTTGTCGATGCAGAAGTTCGGACTGCGAGAAACACTGGTGAAATCATATCTGATGCAGAAAGAGGAGGATTATACCTATATCCAGAACTTCAGGTAGCTAACCGGCTTTTAGACTGTTTCCAAAGGAAAATGATCATTCAACTAGCACTTACCTCCACCCCCAGTACCCTGGATTTGAAAGCAAATCCTACTACAGATCTCTCCCTTCATTTTCTAAAATGAGTGATTCCATTCACTCTTCATTAGCAGGCGTTTATTCTGTGCCTTTTCGGCCGGGCACTCTGGTGGGTGTGGTACAGTGGGAGTGACACAGCTTGCACATAGTTACAGCAATATTTGAAGAGCTACATGGATACAAAAAAAGGAACGTAGCCTACCCTTGGTCGTTCTGGGCCTTTGAAGAAAGTCATTTAAATTGAAGTTAGTGTTGGGTAATCTTTTTAGACAGGGTTACTGAAAGTTGAATGAATCAAGGTTGCATGATTCTGCTAGATCTTTTTAAATTATTGCACTGTGACCATAAGACAAAGTAACATTGCTTCTAGGGATAGAAATAGTCCAGTGATGGCGAAACTATGACATGCGTGTCAGAGGTGACACGCGAACTCATTTTTTTGGTTGATTTTTCTTTGTTAAATGGCATTTAAATATATAAAATAAATATCAAAAATATAAGTCTTTGTTTTACTATGGTTGCAAATATCAAAAAATTTCTATATGTGACACGGCACCAGAGTTAAGTTAGGGTATTTCAAAATGCTGGCACGCTGAGCTCAAAAGGTTCGCCATCACTGAATAGTCAGTTATGATGAGTACTGCTGTTGCTTTCCTTCTGAAAGTAATTACCAAGGTACTTTTCATTTCCAAAGCATATGCAGGGTAAAGAATTATCTTGTGGATGATAGTTCTCTAAGGCTGTCAGAGCTAAGTAGGAATGTTCAGAGTAGGCCTGCGCTGTTTGAAGTGATCACACAAGCAACAAATATCACAGTAGACTGCAGTCATTGGTATAGGTTAGATGTGACCTTTTTATGTCTTAAAATGCTTTCCCTTGTTGTCTCCATAGTCTTCCTGAGTGACCGATTGGTTTTCTTTGGTGACAGGTTTTTTGTGGGGACATACAATGTGAATGGACAGTCCCCCAAAGAATGCCTCCAGCCCTGGCTAAGTCACGGTATCCAGGCCCCAGATGTATACTGTGTAGGGTGAGTGTTTCTCTTCCAGTCGCTTCTACATTCTCAAACGTATAGCTGCAGCTGAAGGGATGGGGACATGAAGATGAGGTGGGCAAAAGTAGGTTTACAGTTGTTCCTATGGAAAATAACACAATTAACAAATAATAATAGAAGAATAAACTGTGTTTTATGGACTCACAACTGTAAACCTACTTTTGCCCATCCCTTATATACCTGACTCTTCACAGCAGGTGAAGGAATTGACGAATAAGTATGTGCTTAGTAACAGCTGCTTCTCTGTTTGACGCTCTCCCTTATAGTTAAACACATTTCTGGCACGCTTAAAGTGATGTGCTTGGCACTTAAATGCTAGTATTGAATTTTTAGTATAATTTTCTGTTAAAAATCACCGCACCCTGAACTGATTTTCATTACTTAGACATTCAACACTTTTGGTCATGAAGCAAAGAATATTTTTTGCCAGGGAAGGAAGGTTAGTGTAAAAAAAAAAAAAAAGAAGAAGAAGAAAAAGAAAGGCCCCACCAGTCAGTCCTTTTTGTTTCACACTTAGCATCCTCCTACCCCTATACTGGGCTCTGTTGATGGGGACGGGGCAGCAAAGAAGCCTGTATGGTAAAGTGGAAGGGCCTAGAATTTGGACTGTATGTAGACCTGGGTTTGAACCCATTTGCCGCTTGGTGCTTGTGCGAACTCGTGACCTCAGATGTAAAATGCGGATGCTTCCAACTGCTTCACAGGCTGGTTATGCAGCGGGAATGGCCTGCTGCTGTGACAGCCCTGGTAAGCGCCTTAGCACTTTGACCCTCGGCCCTGAGTGTTTGTTTTTCTTTTCTCTTGCGGGTCCTGCAGTGTAGCCAGAAAGCTAGGATTTACGCTCCCAAACCGATCTTAGGACGTGTCATCTTGTACATTACCTTTCTCTACTTTCTTACTTCTGGCTTCTCCTAATAGGTTCCAGGAGCTTGATCTGAGTAAGGAGGCCTTTTTCTTCCATGACACCCCAAAGGAGGAAGAGTGGTTTAAAGCCGTGTCAGAGAGTCTTCATCCAGATGCCAAGTATGCAAAGGTAAGAGAGGAGCCAGGGACCTTCGAATGGTAGGTTGCCTCGCAGGGAAGTTAAGACAGTATTACACATTCTCCCCAGGCCAGTCCTGATTATCCTGCTATTTTCAGTTCTAGGTCCTCCAGAAGAGGCACCTGTGGGTGGGCAAGATGCAGGTCTTGGCACTTGTAGGCTAAGTTGTCACGTAGCCTGCTAAGTGAGTTGGATAGGTGATTACCCTGGGTCCTCGTGTGGAGGAGATACATGAACACTCGCAGCCAGCTTCGAGACCACTTCTCCTTTGGGATCTTTATTTCTGTTTCCGACTTCTGTTTAATGCCGTGACTTGAATGTTTGGCTCTGGTTTCCAGGTGAAGTTCATCCGACTGGTTGGGATTATGCTGCTGTTATATGTCAAACAGGAACATGCAGCACACATCTCCGAAGTGGAAGCTGAGACCGTGGGGACAGGAATCATGGGGAGGATGGTGAGTTCTTGGTGGTATGTTTGGCACACTGAGGGCCTTGATCCCTGAGGTTTTGACCCCACTTCTCATGATACCTTGATGCATGTGTCCCAGTGAGGATGCTGGTATTAGAAGATGAATTGTACCCTCAGCAGGACTGGACTGAGCAGACCATTTACAAATGGTATTTTAGGGAATCGCTGGCTAATTTGCCCAACTAGCAGGGATCCTCATGTTTACTGCACACTAGAGTCTCGAGTTTATTCTCCCATTTAGTCCATGAAATAGGTTGCAGAAACTATATTGGGTCACAGAGGAAAAGAAGGAATGCTGATGCAGATTTGCCATTTCCTCTTCTTCTTGAGGCCATTAAAGTCCTGCGTTTAGATCCTACTGCTAGAGCTCAGCCTCCTGTGGAGAAGGGAGAGCATGTGGCTTTCCTGGGATTTCATGGAAAGTGGACTCCGCTTGCCAGGGACTGGCTAGTCATTCTGCCTCCTTGGATTTGTTTTCTTACTTGTAAGATGCAGACAGTAATACTGCTTTACTTACCTCACAGGGTTATTACGAAGACTAGTTAAGAGAAAACGTTTTGAAAGTTTGCAGGTTTAAGCAACTGACATAATTAAACAACCATCTAAACTGGATTTCTCTGGGCTCCTCTTCGTAGGGTAACAAAGGAGGAGTGGCGATCAGGTTCAAGTTCCACAATACCAGCATCTGCGTCGTGAATTCGCACTTGGCAGCCCACACAGAAGAGTACGAGAGGAGGAACCAGGACTATAAAGACATTTGCTCTCGAATGCAGTTTTGTCAGGTTGACCCGAGCCTTCCCCCTCTCACCATCAGCAAGCACGAGTGAGTCTGGACTTCTGCCCCGCACAGGTCACGACGCCGGTGTTTTGTTAGCGAGGTGACGGGGGAGGCTTCCCACTGCTGGAGTGGGGGCTCGGTTACACACGGATCATGTCCCTTGGAAAGGTTTAGTTTCCTAATTTACCATCTGGCAGGCCTCTAGAATTCTTCTCAAATCCTTTGTCCCTGGAAAATGTTTAAGACTTATTTTCATGTGAGTCTGCTTTGATACACCACCACAGTGAAAGCAGCCAAAGAGCGAGCATCTCTACTCCAGGCTTTAGAAGTATGTTTCAGGATATTATGCATCTGTTCTTCCCAGGAGCATATGTAATTGAGAAGGACTGCATTTGTCTGCCTTCACTAAGTCTTTTATACCTCAACTTTATAAAGCTATAGTTGCAGCTGCTTGGAGCATCTTCTGCTAATTTTTGTCTATCTTTTTATTTCGTTTACCTCTAAAACTTCCTATATGTCTAAATTCAAGGCATATGAGAATTTCTGACTTGAAAGTAACACTTGAAGCTTGTGCCACTTCTTTTATAAAGAGGAAGAGCCGCTGGGGCCATGGTGTCTGCCAGGGAGCATACAGAGTCCAGCCTCTCATCCCGCCTGCTGCCATGGTGGAACTGTCTTGAGCTCATTGGTGTCCCAGAAGCTGACAGGATGGCTTTCCTTCTCCAGGGAACCTAGCAGGGAGTGTGTCTTCCGTTCTGCTAAGCCTGCAGCATCCTAGTTTGTGAGGTTGCAACTTGCATGTCAGTTTGTCTGCTTTTATTTGGGGGTGTGCCTACTGCGGTGCAGACTCTCTCCTGACTTGGTTGCTGCTTCTCGTGGAGCACTATTGGACTTTATGGGATGTGCAGTGTTATTGAGGAGCATTCCATTATCTTTTCCCCCAAAGCATCAGGTGTCATAAAACACCTGTCACACTGAGCCAACCGATGCTATGGTGGTGGTTAAGCCCAGATTCTACTGTAGAGGTTGAGCTTTGTTTCAGAATAACTCAGCTCTAGAAACAAAGGCGGGCGGGGGGGACGGTGTTTTGTGGACTGGAGTGTGCGTGGAGGCAGAGGCAACATCATGGCATCATCTATTTTGGGGTCCCTGGATGATTGGCATGACTCCCCAAACTTGATCTTTTTGCCTCTTCCCAAGAATGAAGTGAATTATTGTCTTGCTTTTAGATCCTATTAGACTATCTTTCCAACCATACAAGAATATAAAGTAGTCAAGGAGAACTAGAGGCAGTTTATAATGAACTTGGACCAAGATAATTGTGTAAGCAGCATGGTAGACGTGGTATTAAATGAAAGGACAAGAGAGAAAGATTTCCTGAGCAGCCGAATCATTTCCCCACCCAGCTCCCAAGAGGCCGAGCCTCAGGGGCCTTCTGTGATGAGAAGGGTGAAGTCCCTGCTAACGCCTGCGACCTGTGTGCTCTGTCCTTGCAGTGTGATCTTGTGGCTGGGGGACCTCAACTACCGGATAGAAGAGTTGGATGTGGAAAAAGTGAAAAAGCTCATCGAAGAGAAGGACTTTCAAACCCTGTATGCATATGACCAGGTACAGATGGTCACCTGTGCCCTCTCAGGCAGCTGTCCCCATACTGTGAGGGCACAGAAAAGCCTGGCTTCTCAACTCTCAACCTCTTCTTCCTCAGCTTGGGAGGTTTCCCTGAGGAGCTGATGTCCAGTCAGGTCTTTCATCTGCATGTCCATCGTCCATAGTTGTCTCCCCATTGGCTTGTCCCTTGAGGTGCCTGGTCTCTCTTCTCTTGGGAGCAGGAGTGTTCTCTCTCTCTCTGTCTCTCTGCCTTGTATGTGCTCATTCATTCATTCAAGTTGGGACTGTAGGGGTACCAGACTTCTCATAAATAAGATACGTGGCTATTTAAAATTATTTTCTAATTCTTTTTTGACTTTGTCTCCTATTCCCCTATCCTCCTCCTCCCCAAACTTGTCCAATATGAATGGCAACTCTTTTTCCTAAATGGCTTTCTTCACTTCCAGTGGGAATCAGTTCTGTAACCTGCTTTTCTCCTGCCATTGTTTGGGTCAGCATTTCTGTCTCAAAGCATTAGCCATTTCACAGGACAAGAGCAGTCAGTTTCTCTCTTTCTTCAGGTTACTCCTCAATAGATTGAAAAATGGTTCCAGTGGTCAGAATTGTTCAGAATGTTAAAGTTCTTTTTCTTTTTAGTCTATGTCCCCTTTTAAATAATCTTAGTATTCATTAGTCTAAATTTTTCAGTTTTCTTTTCCCCCAGTGCAGATCAATTGCAGGAAAAAAAGCCATCAACTTTATATCTTTTCTTTTTTTATATATTTTTCTTTATGGAATAATCTCTTTATCAATCCATCTTTTTCTCTGTAGCTGTTTTCCTTGGTAAATTACTTTTATTCTCTTTAATACCCATTTCAGCATTAATCCAGTCTATTCTATTCTATTCTATTCTATTCTATTCTATTCTATTCTATTCTATTCTAAACTATCTGTTTCTTGCCTCTGCATTCTGGACTGAGGCATTCTAATTTCCCTGGAGTTTAATACTCATCTCCTCTTGCCTTCTTTTCTGGTCTTTCCTCAAGTAATAGTACCTGTTTTGTGTGTTCTCTGCTTTTCAGATGGTTTTAAGGTTTATATATACTCATTCAAGAAGCATCAGCTTACCTTAATACCTAAATGTTTTACTTCCTGTTGCTTTTTCTTTATTAATTTATATTAGGAATTCGCTTTTTGGGGAATTTGGCAACTGTTGTCTCCTGCATTAGGGCTGCCAGTTCTTCCCCAGTTCACTTGGCACCCAACTGGGTGCCGGGGGGAGAGGGTGGGGAGGCAGGAGCACCTGTGTTTTTATCTCTTGCTGAGAGTGTGATCGGGAAGGGGCTCCTAGAATTAGTGCACTAAGAAGGATACTAGCTATTATGCTGTGTCAGGCACTGTTCTAAGTTGACAGTTCATTTTTCCAACAATCCTGTGTAGCAGATTCTAAGTCCAAAATTTACAGATGGAGAAATCAAGGCACATAGCTTCCTTCAGTTCATATAACTAGCTGGACAAGCTTCTTTTGAAAGTGTTTTTTTGTTTTGTTTTAAGTGATTTTTAAATTTAAACCATAGTTGGTTTGGTATATTTCTGCTATATGTTTCTACATACATGGAAGTTTCCCTTTGCTTTTTGGACTGTATCTTTCCAGACTCTTTTATATGCAGTTTTGTCTCTCTGTATAATTAAAACAATTGTGCTACACAGATGAAGTGTTTGATACCTAAAAGGGAAAAGCTCTGTCTGTTGGTATCTAATCCTCTCAGAGATACAGTAACTCTTATAAAAGCACCTTAAAAACTGTATAACAGGCAAAGGAAACGTTAGCTTGCTTGCTCCTCTTGCTAGAAGTTAGTTAATTCAAGATCTTACATATGGTGTACAGCTGATGTGTTGTGGAATTGTGCACCTGAAACCTGTGTAATTTTGTTAACCAGTGTCACCCCAATAAAGTCAATAAAAAGGGGCGGGAGGGGAGTAAAATAAAATAAAAAAATAACCTTCCAGAATAGCTTTTTCATGGGCCTTTCCCTTTGAATTAGGGTTCAGATTTCAGATCGATATCTGCTCATTCAAGGCTTAACCTTTTTATTCTGAGATTTTTTTTCTTCCATCCTTTTGTGTAGCTGAAAACTCAGGTGGCTGCAAAGGCTGTCTTTGAAGGCTTCACAGAAGGCGAACTCACGTTCCAGCCGACCTATAAATATGACACTGGCTCCGACGAGTGGGATACCAGGTAGGTCAGAGGTTGCTTCAGAAGGTCAGGCAAACGAAAACCCAGAAATTTAGGGAAGCACTTGCCCTCATGGGCCTAAAGAAGAAGATAGGTTTACTGTGACTTTTCTCCTTGTGTTGTACTCTGGTTAAACATTTTCTTTCAGTAGCTGCTCATTAAGCAGCCTGCCTTCCTCCTTGTTTTCTATTTGACTGCTTTAGCCTTTGTTCCTTAATAATTCTTGTGACTGGTTTACTTTTAAGTTATTCTTAGGGGGATAAGATGATTCCAACTAACTTAGGTTGTACTTGGTCATTGCATAGTAGTTCATCTATTTTATTAGTGCCTGTGGTATGCCATGCCCTATTCAATGCATTTTACTTGTATTATCTCATTTAATCTTCTCAGCAACCTGTTGAAATAGGTATGGTTTTGTTATTCTCATTTTATACATCGGGGAACGGAGGCATTAAAAAATTAAAGAGCCTCCCAAGCAGGCAAGTGTAGAGCCAGGATTTGAACCCAGGCAGTAGGAATTCAAAGCCTGTTTTAACCACCATCTCTTAAGAACCATAGAGTACTTACTGTCAGATTGCCTTTTGACTCTCACCTCACCCCAATAGGAGGCCAAAGAGCAGGGAATCATTCTGAACGGTGTTTTGGATGATACACAGGATACATGTTATATCTTCGTGAGCCCAAATCGCTCCTGACCTCTCAGATCACTGGGCCTCGAGGACTGGACGGCTCTGCCCAGTCATCCCCCAGCTGAGCCAGGGGCTAGCCAGGCAGTGGGTACTGCTGTGCCTGTGGGGACCCCAGTGTGGACTTTGCATTTCAGTGAGAAGTGTCGTGCTCCTGCCTGGTGTGACCGGATCCTTTGGAAAGGGAAGAACATTACTCAGCTGAGTTACCAGAGCCACATGGCCCTGAAGACCAGTGACCACAAGCCTGTCAGCTCGGAGTTTGACATTGGGGTAGGTGGGCAGCTGCGCCCGTTGTCATCATTCCGTGGTGAATAACAGGCTCTCACAACCAAGACTGCTTTTTTCTTCCTGGTGTCCTCCTCTTCCCTTGAGTATGATGACACTCCTTTAAAAATTGTTTTAATTTCAGTTTAATTCATAATTGCTTTGACATACTACCACTGTATGTTTCTACATACATGGAAGTTCCTCCTTACTTTTTGGACTGAATCTCTCCAGACCTTTCTCCATGCATTTACAAATGTGTGTCAATATTCTCTATGCAACACAGAGGATGTTTCTAGAGGAAGGCTTTCCTTTCTGTGAAAGAGATCATATTATGCATATTGTTCTGAGAACATATTTTTTCCCCACTGACTGTGTCTCAGAAGACCTTTACATGACACTAAAGGCAGAGCTCCCTCATTATTTTTAAAGGTTTCAAAATACACCACAGTATGAATGAACCATAATGTATATATTGATGATCATTTGTTTCCAACGTTTTGCTATTATATACAGTGCTATGGTAACCACCCTTCATATATTTTTGTGTACCAGTGTATTTCTATAGAATGAAATTCCTAGAGGTTAAATTAGTGGTTCAATGAAAAATGTATTTTAAATTTATTAAATTTTGCTAAATTATCCTCCCAGTAGTTTTTACCATTTTACACTCCTGCCAACCATGTATGAGCTTATTTCCTCACACCCTGGCTAATATTGGGTTTTATCAATCTTTTAAATTTCTCCCAACACAGTAAGCCAAAAGAAAAAGATATTTCATTATTTTAGATTCCATTTCCCTGGTTACTAGTGAAGTTGAACATCATTTCATTTATTCCCTATTTGTATCTCTTCTTCAGTGACTTCAGTGTTTATTTTATCAATTCTCAAGGGTCCAGGTAGAAGTATATCGGAATCCATGAGGGTGTGGGTGGTTTGAAAAAAGCCTTATGAATATTATAATTAAAGTTTTACTATTGGAAAGTGACAAAATTGTGTTTATAATTCAAAATACAGAAGGGAAAACCTGGAAAATCTTGTCTGATGGAGCAGTTAGTTAAAAAAGCTTGAGAAATGCTTTTTAAAGAAATGCTGCTTTAAATCAAAGCTCTAGAGAGGTTTCTTACTGCAGGCCTTTTGGCAGCGGCAAGCCAAGTAGAGCTAAGCACTGAGCATGCCCCTGCCCTGGTCCTGAGTCCTGGTAGAACTGCCAACCAGGCTTTCACTCCGCATCCTCTTTCTGCTATTCAGGAAGCAGTTGACTTTACCACAGGCTTTGCCTCTGGGCGACCCTTCTATGTCTATTGTTGATTGGGATCTTTTGTTAATTAATTAAATCTATTTAGTCTCCACTTTCTGTATTGCTGTTTCCCAACGCTGAGAATGCCCTGTGTACTGAAAAAGAGGAAACGGGCAGAAGCCTTGGCACTCAGCCTCTGATGCTTCCTTCCAGGTGCGGGTTAAAAATGAAGAGCTTTACCGGAAGACTCTGGAGGAGATTGTTCGATCCCTGGACAAGATGGAAAATGCCAACATTCCTTCTGTGTCCCTCTCCAAGCTAGAGGTAGGAAGGACTGTTAAGAATATCAGCATCAGCCCTAGCTAGGTTTGCTCAGTGGATAGAGCCTCAGCCTGTGGACTGAAGGGTCCCGGGTTCGATTCTGTTCAGGGGCATATGCCCAGGTTTCGGCCTCCATCCCCAGGAGGCAGCTGATCAATGATTCTCTCTCATCATTGATGTTTCTATCTCTCTCTCCCTCTCCCTTCCTCTCTGAAATCAATGAAAAAATATATATATTAAAAAAAAGAAAGAATATCAGCATCAGCCCTGGCTGGTTTGGCTCCGTGGGTAGAGTGTTGGCCTACGAACTGAAGGGTGGGTCCAGGTTGAAGGGTCCCAAATTCGATTCGGGTCAAGGGCATGTGCCTCAGACCTCGAAACCAATCGACATGTCTCTTTCACAGAGATGCTTCTTTCTCTCTGTCCTCTCCCCTTCCTTTCCACTCTCTAAAAATCAATGGAGAAATATCCTTGAGTGAGGATTAACAAAACAAAACAAGAAAGACTATCAGCATCAGACTCTTCTATTCATAGAGCTTAAATTTCATCTACGAGGGCTCAGAATTCCAGGAGGTACCTGTCAGACTACTGAACTCTAGTCTTTCTTGATAGGTTGCTTCTAGATAAAGTGAGGCTGCTGATGCTAGCTGAGAAGAGAGGGGTTTGTTGGTTTATATCATATTCATCTCCTGATCTTCTAAACCAGAAGCCTTTAACCATTTTTAAAAAATATATTTTTATTGATTTCAGAGAGGAAGGGAGAGGGAGAGAAAGATAGAGACACCAATGATGAGAGAGAATAATTGATCATCTGCCTTCTGCACACTCCCTACTGGGGATCAAAGCCTCAACCCAGGCATGTGCCCTTGACTGGAATAGAACCAGGGACTTTTCAATCTGCAGTCTGATGCTCTATCCACTGAGCCAAACCAGCTAGGGCAACCATTTGTGACTCATAGATTTCACCTACACATGAGCCATCTATGAGTTAAATAATGGCAAAGGTGATCCAAAATGGGTTTTGTTTTTTAATTTTAATATAACCTGTGTGTATTCTTGCATTGGGTTTGTCTTCCTACTGATGCTTTGCTTTGAGATCAAATCGAGTCCGAATTTCTTGGGTATGCTTGAGTGAATGGTAGGGAAGGCAGTATAGAAAAGCAGTGGTCAGTGGGAGAAGTCAAGTTAGGGCTGAAGATTTTCCATGAAAGAGCCACAGCATAGATCATTCAGAATTGACAATACCAAGAAGTCAGTCAAATGGGTATTTATGGTGAGAGTATTTTCAATACCTTAGATGTCCAGCCACTTGGAAAGATAAGTTTGGTCTTGAGTTTGTTTGGGTATAGAAGATACAAATGTTGATTCCTTCAGGAAATTTATTTATAAAACAACATGCTTTCTTTGAGTTTCTGGGATAAACACAGACAATTGGTCTTTAGTAGTAGCTGTGGCCTGCCAGGTAAATACGTAGAGAAGAAACATGATTTGAAAGAGGTGGTCCTTCTTTCTTTTCTTTTTTTTTAGAGGAAGGGAGAGGGAGAGAGAGATAGAAACATCAATGATGAGAAAGAATCATTGATTGGCTGTCTTCTGCACCCCCTATACTGGGGATCGAGCCCACAACCCTGGCATGTGTTCTTGACCAGGATTGAACCGGGACCCTTCAGTCCGCAGGCCGACTCTCTATCCACTGAGTCAAACCAGCTGGGGCTGGTCCTTCATTTTCTTTCCAGAAAGGGCAAGGAATGCCCAGTTGGGTGTCTGGACAGGTTGTCGAGAAGAGGACATTGGTCTGATGGGTTCCGGGCTTGTTCCCAGTTCTGTTTTCAGAATGTGAAGTACATGCAACTGCAAGTGGAATCCTTTACAATTCATAACGGACAAGTACCCTGTCAGTTTGAATTCATCAACAAGCCTGGTGAAGAGTCTTACTGTAGGCAGTGGCTGAATGCCAACCCCAGCAAAGGGTTCCTCCTGCCAGGTAAGGCCTCTCTTCCAGGTCCCTGGTTACTGGTTTGGGGTACACTCTACCCTCTCTTTGCTCACTTTCCTGTAATAAGCTTTTTGTTTCTGAGTGTTTTGTTGTCTGCTTGAAACTTTTAAAAAGTCCTATGGATGAACCATCTACAAATAAAATATAAAATAGTGAGGAGTGTGAGTTCAGCTTCAGAAGCATTCTCAGTCACGTATTTGTTCCATAATTTCACAGAAAGAGCAAACCTAAGATGGCTGTGAAGCAGCTGCTGCTGTTAAAAGGACCATTTTTAACCTTTGCCAGTAGCTCAGTTGGTTGAAGCATTGTCCTTCACACCAAAAGGTTGTGGGTTTGTTTCCTGGTCAGGACACATACCTAGGTTGTGGGTTTGATTCCCGGTTGGAGTGTGTATGTGGGGCAACTAATGGATATCTCTCTCTCTCTCTTTCTCTCTCTCTCTCATCAATAAAAACATATTCTTGGGTGAGGACTACAACAAACAAACAAAAAGAATCATTTTGACTGTCTGCCTCACCATAATCAACTCCCAGTTGTTGTTATAGGGAAAGATAATGGGGTGGTGACCCAAAAATTATATCTGGCTCTGGAATATACCATGCATAGCTCTCCCCTAACTTCTCCTTTGCACTCTATGTTGTGCTGTGTGGCAGAGGGATTAAGCCTGTTTTGTGGGCACTTCACAGGGTGATAGTTTCATTATATTTTCTACTGGATCAGGTGTCTTTATCTGACCTTGCTCAGGGTAAGCTCTTTGATCCATGCCTTCTTAGTGATTAATAATTACTAGTTTAAGCTGTGCTACTTAGAACTTGAATTTCATAGTAGTTGCCTATTCACGTTTTTGTTTGTTGTTTTCATATTCCCACTTGGACTGTCAACTCTGTTCGTGTGTCTCCTGAGTGCCGAACACATAAATACTTGGTTGGCTCTTATTTCCTTTTATTTTCCTTCCTTAACCCTTTAGGCCTGGTGACTCTCTTCCCTTTGTATCTTCTTTCCTTCTTTTCTCTTGGCCTCCCACCAGCCAACATTACTTTTTAAATTTTTCTTCAGATTCGGCCATTGAGATTGAATTGGAGATATTTGTCACTAAGACCATGGCTACAAAGCTCAACTCTGGCGAAGACAAAATTGAGGACATTCTTGTTTTGCACTTGGACAGGGGAAAGGATTACTTTTTGTCTGTGTCTGGGAACTACGTGCCCAGCTGTTTCGGATCTCCCATCCATACACTGTGCTACATGAGGGAGCCGATCTCTGACCTGCCGCTTGAAACTGTTAGAGAGCTGGTGAGTGATGTGCCACAAGGAAACATGCGGTCCTGTGTCGCAGCCACGTCAGTCAAACAGGATATGCCCAGGGATCTGAGAATTCTTCAGCCTCCCTAGAGCTGGCTTATCGTATCAGTTATACACAGTATTGCTGTGTAACAAACCACCTGAAGTTTTAATGGTTGAAAGCAACCAATTATTGCTCCTCCTGCTTCTGTGAGTTTCCTGTGTAGCTCTTCTGCTGAGCTCGCCTCGGCTCATGTGTGCAGTTGCAATCAGATGGTGGCAAATTGTGAAGCCGGCCCAGATTCCAAAGGCGGGAAGAGACTCTACCACTAGATAGAAAAAGCTACAAAATGTTGTGGCCGTGTCTTTCAGCCTTGCATACACAGTTCATTAGAGGAACTCAGCCATGGATACGATGATGAAGGTTCCCTGGCCCATGATCATCTTCTTATTTTTTATTTTTTTCTTTTCTCTTATTTTTTAATCATCATTTGGTAACATATCATCCCAAACTAAATTTTCTGAGACCTCAGAGGCTCCTATGGAGACAATTCTAATACAAGGCAACTAGTTTGGAGCAGATTTATAGTAATACATAATGCTCCTCCCACTCATGCATTTTTAATCTAGGTACTCTTGAACACCATCCTCTCCATTATACAAATGAAAACTGAGGCCTCATAAGGAGATGACTTGTCACAGGTCACATGGCAAGTTAGCAATGGACCTGGACCTTGCATCCGGGTTTTTGGACTCTCAAGTCTGTGTCCTTTTTCCCTGGACCACAGTGTCCTTCTAGCTCTGACACTGAAATGCTATAGGCAGGATTTTTTTCCTAAGAAGTTGATGCATATTGTCACCCAATTCATTGACACTTCTTGCTATAATGCATTCCCAATTCTAAAAAATCACCTTTGTACTTTGTGCCACCTGATTTCATTTCCGACTGTGGAATGTTTGCTTAGGGGCATTGAAATGCCGTCCCCCCCTTCTCCCACGGGTTTGCTGTCCCCACATCCTGTGTTCTCCTAAGCCAGCGGAGCCTAAGTTCTCTTGGTGGGGCTTCTGAGGCTTTTTATTTCTTTTCAGACTCTGATGCCGCTCTGGACGGAAGATGATGGCAGCCAGTTGGAGAACCCCATGGAAATCCCCAAAGAGCTCTGGATGATGGTTGACTACCTGTACCGAAATGCGGCCCAGGAGGTGGGTGGTGCTTCCACAGTCAGACCTGATGGAGGGCAGGCTGCCCTGAGAAAGAGCATCAGCCCCAGTGTTTGGTGTAAGAAGCTTTGAATCCAGAGAACCTGTGGAAAGCTGTTTTTCCCTCAGGGAGGGAATGACGGATAAATAGGTTCATGTTTCACACCCTTGGGGGATTGTGACATTACATAGAGCACTTGGTTACCCCCAAGGGAAGCGGCCTTGCACAGGATGGCCTTCCCAGCACCGCATGGTCCCTCCCCTGGCCTCGGTCGCCATGTAGAAAGCCATCTGGAGCCTTCTCAGGCTCTCAGCCAGGCATCCTTTTGAGGAACTCGCACCAGCTTCTGGGAATGGGCTGGACTAACTTGTAGACAAACCAGATAGAGGCAGGAGGAATTCCCAGGTTGTGTGAGTCAGGAGGCCTGATTTCTAGAGTGACTTGGGCAACCTTCATTGAGATCAGATTGGCCAGTTTCACTGACTCATTTACTATATATGGGGAGACGGAGCAACATATATTCTTAGGATATTCTCTTTTCACTTTTTTTCTTTCACACTTATTGAGTGTTACAATGTACCAAATATTGTTCTAAGTGTTTTATAGTATTGCCTTATTTATTTCTCAGAAAGGTAAATAACTTGGTAAAGGTCCCAAAGCTGATAAGTGGACAGGATTGGGATTTGAACCCAGGGAGTCTGGCTAGAGAAGTCACATTCTTTTTTTTTCTTCTTTTTTTAAAATATATTTTTATTTATTTCAGAGAGGAAGGGAGAGAGAGATAGAAACATCAATAATAGGAGAGAATCATTGATCAGCTGCCTCTTGCACACTCCCTACCAGGAATTGAGCCTGCAGCCCTGGCATAAGCCCTGACTAGGAATCGAACGTGACCTCCTGGTTCATAGGTGGATGCACAATCATTGAGCCACGCCGGCTGGACAGAGGTCACTTTCTTTTCTTTTTTTTTAAAAATATATTTATTGATTTTTTACAGAGAGGAAGGGAGAGGGATAGAGAGCCAGAAACATTGATGAGAGAGAAGCATCGATCAGCTGCCTCCTGCATACCTCCTACTGGGGATGTGCCTGCAACCAAGGTACATGCCCTTGACCGGAATTGAACCTGGGACCCTCTAGTCCCCAGGCCGACGCTCTATCCAGTGAGCCAACCGGCTAGGGCAAGGTCACTTTCTTACATACCATGCTCTCCTACCTTCTCTGTAGAGAAGTGTAACTTTTGAGCAATACATGTAATATGGTTATTATCAACAGTTAGATGGCATTGTCATTTTATAAAACAAAGGAATATAAAGTCCCCTGGGACTACTGGAAATACCTTTATTGCCATAATCTTGTTTTCATAAAGCACTGAACTGCCTTTTAGTTTTCTTCATCTTATAAATGATATAATTTCTTCATAATTTTCTTTTTTTGGTTAATCCCCCTATAACACTGCAGGAAAAATAGCTGCTTTTAAGTTTCCCTTATGTTGGATCTTACTGTTGTATATCATAGGCCCTACCCATAGTTTTATAAAAGATGTCTTATCAAGACCTGTTGTGGGAGCCTGCCTGGGAAAGCCTGCAAGATGAATTAATTAGCCGCACCCGCCTAAATCAGGTTGTCTACCAGGGTGACTCAGAGGCCTCACTACATGCTTCTTTTTGTTCTCTGCTGGAAATGACATTTCTAGGTCAGGAATTCATTGCTGATTTTCTGAGAATATAATTACTTTGTGACTTTCTTCCCTTTTGCAGGAAGATCTGTTTCAACAGCCGGGCCGAAGGTTGGAATTTGAGCACATCAGGGACTGTTTGGATACTGGAATGATTGAGAACCTTGATACCCTCTGTATCCTTTGTGTATGTGTGTGTAAGAGAGGTGAGAAAAAGGAAATAATATTTTAAGGCTCAAAATCAGATATTGTGCCCTCAGCTATCATGTTTTTCTTACTTAAAGTTTGCATAGAGAAGTCTTCACAACGTTAAGCAACCGATATAGTAGGAACTAAGGAGGGCCCAACTAAGCTGACAGACAGCCTGGCTCCTTCAAGCTAGCAGGCAGGTAGCACTTCTAGCCTTTTCCTAACCATGGGCAGCAGCACCACCTGTTCCTTAACGATGGGCCAAAAGCCCTTAGCCATCATTCGGTAGCCGAAGCCTTGCTGCTTTTCCTGGAGAGCCTGCCAGAGCCCGTCATCTGCTACAGCGCCTACCATAACTGCTTGGAGTGTTCTGGCAACTACACAGCAAGTAAACAGGTGAGGGGAAGCACTGAGCATCAGCATACACAAGCTGTAGCCCCAGGCCTCCTGGGGCCTGAGGGAACAGAGCAGTCACAGCCCCTCACATGTTTCTAATATCTTAGAAACTTACCTTATCTTTCCTTCCCAAACCTGTTTTTCCTCTCCTCCCTTTTTTCTTTTAATGGCATCACACTTAATTGTAGTGACTCAACCCAGAAACCTGAGTCATTTCTGACTCCTCCATTTCTCACCTCCCACATGCCTAGTCCCCTTGGTCTACCACCCATCTTTTTTCTTCCGTTCTCCTTCCACTTGCCTTGGTGCAAGGCCCTGCGTTCAGGCTCTCCCTCTGCTGATTTGTTTCATATACTGCCATTAGGTTGTGTTCTAAAGCTCTCGTGTTACTGTTGGTCAAAGACCATACTTGGCTTTCTATTGCCAATGAATGATTTTCTTAAACATTCAAGACTTTCTATGATCTACTCTAGTTGCTCACATATATAACAGAATCATCTAGAAAACCTGCTAATAATACAGGTGCTAAAGCCTCATCCCACATTCACTGAATCAAAATCTCTTTTGGAATATACTTTGTACAAACTTCCTAACTGATTCTCCTGTGCAGATAGATGGAGTACTCACTGAATTCTAGCCTGATCCCTTCCAGGCTTAGCGCCTCTTCAGTTATGCTCCTGCCAACAATGACTTCACACAAAGTGCTCTCTCCTTATTTCATTGTTTTCCTTCTCTTGTCCTTTTTTATGCTTTCTTTTGTCCTAAAAACCCTAGTTCTTACCTCTGCAAGTCCAGTCTTGTCTTATATTCAAGACCTATGTCTTCTATTTCCTTAAGTCTTTGGAGAGCACATAGTTAGAAGTTTGACCTCTAAATCCATATAGTACTTGATTTGTGCTTCTCTCTCTCTCTTTTTATCTGTGCTTCTCTTTTGGCACTTGTGCCAAATGGTAAGTGGTCAAGGTTTTCTGTGCACAGTCTTATTCATGTACGTGGATCATGTACTCAATTCCTGGAATATAGCAGACACTTATTTAATTGAATGAATAAAAAGGCAAATCCCAATTCTGCCTCTTTCAGGTCATTTCTACTCTCCCCACATTCCACAAAAATGTCTTCAACTACTTGCTGGCGTTTTTGCGACAGTTGCTGGAAAATTCAGAAAAAAATCATTTGGATGAGAATATTCTAGGTAAGTAGCCAGGTGTCTGTGAGAAGCATCTCTGCAAGCTGAGAGACTCATTATAAGAAATGTGGTTGTGGAAGGTCCCAAGTCCACTAATACAACTAAAATCTCAAGTTCTGGGCAAAGTTTACCCTCAAACAGGATTTAAAGCAGAAAATTTGTTTTTGGGGACCCTTCCCCATTCATAACAACACAAAAAAATTAGTACCTTCTTTTGCTGAATCATTTGTTTTCTGTGTTTTTCATGCAGCTAGCATATTTGGCAGCTTACTGCTTCGAAACCCAGCTGGTCAACAAAAGCTTGAAATGGCAGAGAAGAAGGCTCAAGAATTTATTCACCAGTTCCTCTGCAACTCACCCTGAGCCTCTCTGTCTCTTCTATTTTACCGGAAGCATCCAATTACCAGTCCCACCTGTTTCCGTTGGAGAGTGGCCTTCGGAGGACGTGAGGCCACTTGGAAGCTAGAGTGGCAACTGCCAGCTTCCTGAGCCCAGGCCATTCCCCCCACCATGGCTATCACCCTTCGTGCTGCTGCGAGTTGTGAGGACATGAGAGAAACCCACCACAATAAAACTGACATGCAATGTTCAACTTTAGTTAATTTAACACAGATAGATTATTTTTTTTTAAAGATTTTTAAAAAATTGATTTTTTTAGGGGGTAGGGGGTAACGTGGGATAAGGACACATATGTAATATCTTAATAAAAAATATATTTAAAAAAATTGATTTTTTTAGAGAGACAGGGAGGAGGGAGAGAAACATCAATACGCTGCCTTCTGCCTGATCTCCCCCCCCCCCCTTCCCCCAGGGATGGAGCCCCCAACCCGGGCATGTGCCAGAGATGGAACCAGAAACCTTTTGGTGCACAGGACAATGCCCAACCAGTCAGGGCTCTATTTTTTTTTTTAATGTTTAAATAACTGTACTTGTGCTCACTCAGTCTGTCTCCAGGGCATAGTCAGTGCCTTCCCTGTCACCTGGGCTGAGCTCCCCATGATCAGATATTTGAACACACTTTGGAACTGAAAGGAGAATAAGTTGACTTGGACGACAAGAATGTGAGGCAGCTGCAGGGTAAATAGGCTATAGCCACCCAGATGCTTCTAGCACGCTGTCTGTGTACATGTGTACATGCAGATGCAAACCCTATTCCCTTTCCTGCTCAGATGTGCAACACCTCTGGGGCTGGCCACTCAGCCACGGCGGTCAATACAGTGGCTTGAAAATGAAAATACGGAAGAAATTGGTGTTCTGGTTAAACAAGTGGGACTTTCTGGGCCAGCAAATTCTCCAAACTGTTTTGATGCATTCCCTCTCTCATATGTGTAATATATTTTAATGATAAATGTATTTTTAACAGTGGTTGTTTGTGTTTTTATTTCTTAAGAGATGGCAGTTCTCTGCAGCAGGACTTTTGCAGCGTAAGCATTGGGTGGCTGGTCAGGGGCCAGAGAGAGATTTGCCTGGCATCTGGTGGGTGCAGTCACTATTCACATTTTTCAAGCAAGAGATGGGACAGGCATGGCCTGAACCCCTTGACTGGTGGTCTAGTCTCTGGGGGTTGTTGCCCTTGGGATATTCCATACAAGTAGCTTAGGGGAAAAACAGGTGCTGGCTGCTGGGATGCTCTAACAGCTGGATCTTCCAGGGATTTAGAAAATTGTAGAGCATAATGACGTCATAATCAAAATTGCTTCTTGGGCCCTGAAACACCACTACTTGGCATTGTAAAACGTGACTTACTAGGAGGTACCAGCCAGTAGCATGACGATGTGAGCCATTGGGAATGGCCAGTAGGTGGCGCTGACCGCCCCGGCGCGAGTCCGGCTGGGAACCCACAGTCCTCGGCCTGGGAAAGTCGGACAGACCGCGGGGCAGGAGCGAGCGACTGCGCTCCTGTGAGCGCACGCGCGGGGGAGAGGCGGCGGCGGGCTCTGGCCTCTCGGCGGGGCTGGGAATACTCCCTAGTTCCGCCCTTCAGGTTCAATCTTCCTTTCTCGGACCCTCCGGCTTATGTTCATTAACTTTGCTGGGTGATGAGGAGAAGCTGGGGCCACAGAGAAATGGCGGGAGTGCCATGCTCCCCCTGCGGGTCCCAGCCGGAATTCGGATACCTAACTGCGGTCTTTTCTGTGGCGGTGGTGGCTGCCATGGCGAAGGCGGCAGCGCAAGCCGGACCGAAGCAGTTTCGGCTTAGTGTAGGGGCTCGATCCCCTTTCCCTGCGTCTGGTGCCGCGGGAGAGACGCCCTGACGGACACGGCGCGCACTTCCCTGCGCGGGATCCGCTCACCGTCCGGCTACGTCGCCAGGCGCCCCGCCCTCCCGCTCGCCAATTGGAGGCTCGAGCTCGGCCCCTACACCCCCTACACCAACCAGCTGCGCCAGGGAGAGGGCGAAAACCCGGCTCTCCCTCCTTTCCTCCCGGGAAGCGGAAGCGGAAATTGCCCCTCGGGGGAAGGGTGGGGGGCAATCATGGTGCCGCTGGGGAGAGGAGAAGCTGTCTGTTGCCGCCGTTGCCGGGAGCCGCGGAGGTAAAAGGCGGAACTAGACGCGGCCTGGGCTGGGGACTTCCCGGGGGGCGCGGGACTTAGGCTCCCTCCTGAAGCATTTCCCAGCAGAGACCCCAGTCCGGTCACCATAGAGACCCCACCCCTCCTCTGTTTCCATGGGGATGGGTATCCAGCCCCCTCCCCTGTTTCCATGGAGACCGGACCCTGCCCCTCTTCGCCAGGGTCGGAGCCCCCCAGCCTGTCTTCAGATTTTCCGAGCAGCCCAGGCTGGGAGCTCTCCCAGGCAGGTTCCTTTCCCAGCCTCCTCTCAGGGGTGCTGTTTGTACTCCTCGTTTGCCATCGTCAAACCTTCTGGTCTTGTTTGTTTCGGACAGTTGGTCTCTGTTTGCCGCCGACGGCGCCTGGGCAGCCCGGTGGGGCCCCGTGCGCTTCTCTCTCCTCACAGATGCAGCGAAATGTGCATCTACCGGGTTGCGTAAGCCAGAGCAGGGGGTCGGGCGGGTTCTTCCCTCGGCCTGTCTCTGGTAACTGTCTCTCTGTCTAGCGGCCCCACTACGTAAAAGGTTCACTTTCTAATCCAGAGCAGAAGAGAAAGATAAAGTGCAAGTCCAGGCTGAAAACCAAAAGTGATGGGATTCTTTTTTCAGTTCTCTGTTCTGCCCGCCAAACTCACATTTGTAGAACCTCAGTGTTTGCAGGTAAATCACTATTCCAAAACGGGACAGCTTCACGTTTGGTATTTTTCCCAAGAGAGCAAATCTTCCCGAGAGAGAGTATCTGCAGGTCTTCCATTCATTTAGCGTGACATCTCCTGGACTCCTGGTGTCAGTGTACTGTG